TTGTGTGACTTCATTGAGACTCATTACCTGAATGAGCAGGTGAAATCCATCAAAGAACTGGGTGACCATGTAACCAACTTGCGCAAGATGGGAGCCCCTGAATCTGGCATGGCAGAATATCTCTTTGACAAGCACACCCTGGGACATGATAATGAGAGCTAAGCTGACTTCCCCAAAGCCACGGAGTGACTTCACAAGTCACTGAGGCAGTGCATGCATGTGGGGGCTACCTTTCCCTTTTCTATAAGTTGCACCAAAACATCAGCTTAAGTTCTTTAATTTGTACCATTCCTTCAAATAAAGAAATTTGGTACCCAAAAAAAAAAAAAAATCTATTTGAAATGGAATGGATCAAAAACCTTAATTTAAAACCTGAAACCAGGGGCTGGAGAGATGGCTCAGCGGTTAAGAGCACTGACTGCTCTTGCAGAGGACTCAGGTTCAATTCCCAGCACCCACACGGTGGCTGGCTACAAACTGTGCTTAACTCCAGTTCCAGGGGAATCCGAAGCCCTCTCCTGATCTCCACAGCATTGCACAACATGGGTACACTCACATACATGCAGATAATACACTCATACACATAAAATAAAAATAATAAAGTATTAAAACCTGAAACCTGGGGATAGAGAGATGGCTTAATGGTTAAGAACACTTACTATTCTTCCAGAAGACCTCTTTTGATTGCTAGCACCCACATAGTGGTTAACAACCTTCCATAATGCCAGTTCCAGGGAATCTGACACCCACTTCTGACCTCTGTGGGTACTACTTACACGTGGTACATTTACATACATGCAGGAAAAACACTCATATACATAGAAATAATAAATAAAATATTTTTTAAAAAACATGAAACCTTAAACTCCTAAATGAAAACAGAGAATATTCTTCAGAATATTAGGGTGGGCGAGAACTTTCTGAACAGAGCAATAGCACAAAAACTACTCCCAAGTATTAACAAAGAAGACTGCCTAAAGTTCAAAGGTTTCTGCACAGCAAAGGAAATTATCAGCATAGCACACAGATAGCCCAAAGAATGGGAGAAAATCTTTACCAGCTATACCTCAGACAAGGGACTGATTATCCAGAATTTACAAAGAATTGCATAAATTAAATATCATGGAAACAAAATTATCAATCAGCAAATGGGCTAAATTTAATACAGTTTTCAGAAAAAGAAATACAAATGGCCCAATAACTATTTTTAAGAGTTCAACATCCATTGCCATCAAGAAAATGAAAGTTAAGGCTACATTGAGATACCACCTTGCCCTAGTCAGAATGACTATTATCAAGACTAAATGATTTTAATGTTCCTTACATTATGCTGTGGCTTTGCTCAGTATCAATTCCCAATTTCTCTCATTAATTAAGTGTAACACTGATATACACACTCCTATAAAACAATTGCATTATTAAACATACATGTAAAAGCATACCTAAAACAAGAGCAAATAATATTACAAGGGAAAATCCATTAATAAAATTAATCACATTAAGAAAAAGCAAATATTGTCAATTTCACATAGGACAGAAAGGCATTGACATACATTAACATCAATTTCAAAATTAACAAATCTTTTCTTAGTATGATAAATATCTATTTCTTATCACCAAAGTCAGAATCTTGCCTAATGGAGAAACATTAGCAATGTTCCTACTAAAATGAAGATCAATCTAAGGAATGCCTGCTTCTGTCTTACATCATAATACATTGATAGCTGAGTTAATACTGCTCAAAGAGCAATTTGAATGAAAATTAAAAGAATAAAAATTGCTTTTGTTTACAGGTGAAATGAATGCATACATAGAAGGCTCATAACAAGATTCATACCACAGACAATAATTTGTAAAGTATCAAAAAATAAATTTAATATGACATCCAAAGACAGCACAGTTCCCAGTTTGCAGAGAAAAATGCACACCACTGCATTTACACTAGAAAAATGTAAAATAAAACCTAGGCATATGTCTGGGATGAAATGTGTAATATCTATAGAAAGAGACAAAAACTTTTAGGCATAGGATATATCTGAAAAAAGGGAAAGAGAGGCCTGAAGAGATGGCTCAGCAGTTAAAAACACTGACTGTTCTTGCAGAGGACCTACATTCTAATCCCAGCACTCACATGGCAGCTAACAACTGTCCGTAACTCCAGTTCTAGGGGATCCAACAGCCTCTTCTGTCCTCCTTGGGCATTGCACGGCATGGGAGCACTTACCTACATGCAGGCAATATACACATACACATAAAATTAAAATAATAAATTTTTTAAAAAAGAGGAAAGAGAAATGTTCTTATTAGAAGTTTCAAAATCATCAGAAGGTCACTTCTAAGTCAATTTTTAAATGTAACACAATCCCAATTTCTTTTTTTGACTTTTTTTATTGAATGTCTGTGAACTTCATATAATATATTTTGGTTATATTTAGGCCTCCCTCATATCTGCACCCCCTTACACATACATACACACATAGACACACAAATTATATATGTAATATATTATATATTATATATATTATACATTATATCATGTTATATGTCACCTTTATTATATATTACACATATTATAGTACATATATATTACATCTTATGTATATCATATATTATATAGAGAGGGAGTGAGAGAGAAAAGGAGAGGCCTAGAGAGTCAAATTTGTGTCCCCAAATGCCCTTCAGTGTGGATTCATCCACTGGAGCCTGATCAACCTACCAAGAGTCTCACCCTTAAACGAAACTGACTCAGTCATCAGTTGCTAATAATGTCTAAAGTAGGGTTGGAGTTTCTTACTCATCTCCCCACTTCCATGGTGGAATTTTGCATGGCTTGGGCTTAGTTGAGACTTGTCCATGCTGTCACCATTGCTGTAAGTTCATATGACCAGCTGTATAGAAAACTGTTCCTTGTGATCATTCACTATCTCTGACTCTTACAATATTTCTATGCCATCTTCTGTAACAATCCTTGAGTCTTGAGAGACAGAAGTTTGATATAGGTACCCAATTTAAGGATAACCATTCTACACCCTCTTAATCTCTGCACAATGGCCAGTTGTGGGTCTCTGAATTAATACTTATCTGCTGCATAAGGAAGATTCTTTGCTGAGAGTTGATATATTATCTATGGGTATAACAAGAAGTCATTAGGAGTCAGTTTAATACTGTATATATTTAGCAGAATAATAGTATTAGGCTCTCCCCCATAGCCTCTGAGCTGTGTAGCCTCAGGTTTCTAGGCCTAATGTCATAGGCCTAATATCAATGTCAGGTATGGGCTCCATCCTATGAAGTGGACCTTAAATCCAATTAGAAAGTGATTGTTTACTCCAATAATATATATGCCACTATTGCACCAGTGGGTGTATCTTGCCAAGCCAGTTGTAGCTTGCAGGATTCACAGCTGGGCAAGACTGATGATTAATTTTCTCTTCAGGTAGCATGAACATCAACATCCAGCACTATGAAAGCTAAGTAGAGATGAAGCTTTGAAGTCAGTACCAGCTTGATTTAGCCTTATTTATTCTACAATGCATGTGTGTAGTGTCTTCAGCAATAGATTCTTACCATTAAGTTCTGGTGGGTAACCAAGAGCAGGGGCAATGGCTAGTATTTTTTGAGAGACTATGGGACCCCTGGTCAACAGCTTCTAGAGAGAGAATATCCATTCTTATCATTGTAATTTACTTTGCTAGCCAATGGTGTCCAGTAGGGGCAATTTCCCCTTTAAGGGTAACTCCTTTGAATCTCTTTTTATAATGTATGTGTATATACGTTAAGAAGCTTCTGTCATGTAGGTTTCCATATGCCTGTTTTCTAAAGGTCTTTGCCATTAGTTTGAACCTCTGCCTTACCCTCCCATTACCCACCCCATTTAACCCTTTCTACTCTAGTATCCCCCTTTCTTTTTAAATTTTTTTTATTTTTTATTTTTATTTTATGTATATGAGTGTATTGCTTGCATGTGGGTAGGTGTGCCCATGTCGTACAATGCCCACAGAAGTCAGAAGAGGGCATTGGATCCTCTGGAACTGGAGTTACAGATGGTTGTTAGCCACCATATGGATATTGGGAATTAAAACTGCCTCTGCAAGAGCAGTGAGTGCTCTTAACCACTGAGCCACCTCTCCAGCCCCTAGTATTCCCTTTTCATCCTTTATATCACTGCATTCTACCTTCCCTCCTAAGAACACCCCCATGGCTGTTTATTGGGTTCTTGATCACTCTGTATTTTCAAACTGAAACACACATATCCAAGATTTCAAAGCTATCATTCAGCTATAAGAGAGAACATGTAACATTTTTCTTCCTGGGTCTGGGCTACCTCACTCAGGATAATTGTTTCCAGTATCATCCATTTACTGGTAAATTTCATAATCTTATCTTTTTAAAGCTGAGTGGTGTGGGAGTCAGGCTTGAGCCTAGGGTGAAAGTCTTACTGACAGCCATACAGCAGGCCTGAGGCAACGACCCGACCGCTGGAGCCACAAGGAATGCCTTGTGACATTTTGCTCCCATTGGCAGATCATGGGACTGATGCCTAGAGCTCACCACTCCCTAATCACCACCCTTGGAATCAAGGTATCCTACTTGATGTACTGTGATAGGATGCTAAACCTGTTATGCTAATAAGGTATCCTACTTGCTGTGCTGTGATTGGACAACTACCCCTATATAAGCTTGTGCCTTCCTGCAAATAAAGCAGACCTGTGTCACTGAACGTGGTCTCCTGCATCTGAATGCAGCGAAGCTGGTGCAGACTCCTTACCAGTCCTGGGGTCCAGACCAGATGACTGATCGGAGGAACTAAGAGAGCAGGAGAGCGGCCATAGCCGGAGGAGAGCAGCCACAGCCAGCGACCACAGAATGGTACTTCATTGTATATATATACAATACCTTCATTATCCATTCATAAATTGATGAACATTGAAATTGTTTCCATTTCCTGGCTATTGTGAAAAGGGCAGCAACAAACAGTTATCTCTGTAGTAGGATATAGAGCCTTTTGAATATATATCCATGATTGGTATGGCTAGATCATATGGTAGATCAATTTTGAGCTTTTTGAGAAATCTCCACACTGATTTCCATAATGTCTGCACCAGTTTTCATGGCCACCAGCAGTGGGTAAGAGTTTCTCTTTCTTCACAGTCTCACCAGCATTTGTTGTTTGCTTCTAGAACTTAGCCATTCTAAATGGAGTAAGAAGACATCTCAAAGTGATTTTAATTTTCCCTGATGATTAAAGATACTGAACATTTTAAGTATTTCTCAGCCATTTGCATTTTATCTTTAGAGAATGCTTTGCCCCAGTTTTTAATTGGGTTGTTT